GCACGGCCCACCGTGGCACGGCCCACCGTGGCACGGCCCACCGTGGCACGGCCCACCGTGGCACGGCCCCACGCGCCGGGCCGCGAAACGGACCCCACTGCCGTCACGTTGTGCGCTGTGAAATGGGCCCAAGGCCGCCACAGGCCACACCACGGATTCAGTGAATTCTGAGACAGGTGGGCCTTTTCCTGAGCCATGAGCTGCAGCCCAGGAGGGGCAAGGATGGGGCCCGCAGGACTCGATGTGAGCTTTGGACCAGGGAGGACCCAAGGGGGCACATCTGTCTCACGGACAAAGGCGGCTGGGCAGAGACATTCCATCCTTTTTTAGGAAAGGAGCCTTTATTTACTCTTTTGTATTTATCAGTGGTGAATATGTACATAGACAAAGGCAGACACAGACCGCCTGCCGACCGGTCCCTCGGCGAGACTCACCGGCCGAGTGTTCCCACCGCCTGGACTAACTTGCAGTGCTGTCTTCCTTCCTCCGCCGGGGCTTCGGCTCCTGGAGGGCCAGAGCGTCCCGTCTGAGGGCGTGCAGAGGCTCCAGGCGGATGTCTAGCCTGTGGAGATGGGGGGACGCCCAGGGGTGGCCCAGATGGCGTGGCCACCTGTCCCTCTGCGTGTCCATCAAGACCGTGACCCGACTTCTGACTTTGCTTTGGACACCAGGCGTAAGCGCACCCTGCAGGGTCCACAGCACCGCGGTAGGGTGACCTTTGCAGCGTTTTGTGGAATAGTTTGCGATGTGGTAAGAGTGCAATAAAGAAACAGCAACTGTATCGCGGCTCTGGCCTACCATCCCCCAACAGCACGGCCTGGAACTGCCAGGCCCTGCCAGCTTTCGCAGTGCCCCGGGCAGCCGGGACGAGAGGTGCTGGGTGGAGGTGGGAGCCCTGAACACAGGTCCCGGAAGCGGCCCTGTGGGTAGCCCTGGCCAGGCACGGGCTGCCCATGCTCCGACAGGGCTGAGTGGCCATGGCTGGGCTGTGGCTGCAGGAGCCGGCCTAGGGACTGCTCCTTCCTACCCCTGGCCTCGGCCTCGAAGGCCACCCCGGAGGGCCTCACCAGAAGGCTGCAGGGCTCCGCGAAGCCAGCCATGCTGGGCCCCAGAAGGGCGGCCCTCTAGGGAATGGGGACCACAGGGAGCCCGTGGGCAGGGGCTCGCCTGGACCTCGGGTTCTTGGGCGCGAGAGCTGCAGGAAAGTCCCGGGCCTGAGCCAGCCCTCTCCGTAGGTGTTTCTCGAGGCTGCCTGTCATGCCACAGCAACTGCCGTGTGAACACAGGTCCCTGCCGGGCAGTCACTGTGGCTCATCACTGGCCTCAGAGGCAAAACTGCAGCGTTGACTTTGCCGTTCTCATCTTACTGATGGGGAAACTGAGGCTTAGAGAGGGAAAGGCACTCCGTCCTAAGTCAGCTTAGGTCTCCGGAACAGCGAAGCCAAAGCTGGGAACTCGTGCACTGGGAAGGCGGGCAGAGTCCACTCCTGGACCCTGAGTCCTGGGACGGTGCTCGGGATGGGGCGGGTTCTCCTCACAGCCACACTGACGGGAGAGCTTCCGCCAAGAGGGTTTGCGAAGGAAGTGGCGTGCAGTGTGCTGAGGGGTCCGGAGTGGTCCTGGGGCTCAGGCCAGCCAAGCCTCCGCAGCCTGGAGTGATCGGGCCCCGGCTCTGCCTCTTGCCCAGGCCACGCCCCCTCCTGCACACGGGCCCTGGACTCCCACTTGGTCCCCTTGCCGAGGGCTGAGGCCCACCCTCCCCTCTGCCCCC